GCTTAAAACTCACGTCGGGCGTGTGTGCGTGCATGCCCAAGATCCCGAGAGGAGAATGGAGGAGGAGGGATTGCGGCATGGCCATCCCCCCCTGGGGGACGATTTCTCGCTTTATGTCTCTCTGTCTGTCTGGCGAGTGCACGCTCCCTATAGCAAAAACCACCCCCCCCAAAAAAAAAATAAAAAAGCAGACTAGATCATACAGAAAATCAAATCTCAGATGTAGAAGAGAGAATTGCTGGCTTAGAAAAACCCACCACAAAGACAGAAAACTGCCCCCCAAAATGAGAATAATATATGAGAAATACTAGATACTCTCAAACGTCCAAACATCCGGATAATTGATATCCAGAAGGTGAAGAGACTCCTAAGGGCATTGATAATCTATTCCATGAAATCCTGCAAGAAAACTTTCCAAACCTAGAGGCACTCAAAGATCCAATGCCAAGAAATACAAAGGACCCCAAATAGAATCAACCCAAGAAGATCTTCTCCAAGACACATTATAGCCAGACTGACTAAAACCACAAAGACAAGATACCAAGATTGGTAAGAGAGAAACATCAAGTGACCTACAAAGGATATCCCATCAGGCTAACAGCAGACCTCTCATCGGAAACAATGGGAGTGAGGAAAGAATGGGAAAATATATTCAAAGTGTTAGGGAAAAGCAATTTCAACCAACGAGAATACTGTATCCCTTCACATGGGAAGAAAAGACAAGAACATTCTCAGAGAAACAAAATCTGAAAGAATTGGCTAACACCAGACCAGACTGCCAAGTTCTCAAGGGAGTACTGTGTCAGGACAATGAAATAAATCGGGACAATGGGACAACAGAAGATAAAGTACACGAGACTGAACTGGTGAACAGAATTTTGACTTTTGAAAAAAAAAAAAAAAAAACAAACACTGTGGATTTTCTTTAGGCTTTGTTTTCTGGTTTTTAAGGATTTTTGTCCTGTCTTGAGCTGTCGATAGGTTCATGTACCTACTATTTGAACAGAATCCCAACCTGTTTAAATTTTAAGTTTTAAGCAGTTCCTTAGCATTTCTTTGATTTATTAAAGCTAAAACTGCTTTTCTTGACATTAAAAAATATATTTAAAAATACCCATTTAATGACCGTAGTAAGCGTCATTGCGTCAGACGGGTGCTACCTTAGTAAGTTTACTCAGTTCCACGCCTGAAGTCAGACGCGTGCTCGGGTGTGTGCGTACCAGCTGAACTCGCAGTGGAAGCAGTCAGTGGAGGAGGATTGTTTTTTTTTGCAGTTTCATATATTTCATTTGGCTTCCCAGTCATTTCAAGGGGACGTGGAGATGGGGAGCCCGGCCATTATCCCAGCCTGGCAGGACATGGAAGTTAACAGTATCTTTTGATGAGTAGAAGGTTTTGCTTATTTTTTTTTTTTTTTGAGAGAGATGTTAGATTATTTAAGAAATTTTGTGAATCAATAAAATGTGGAGGGAAAAGGGAATGAACAATGACTGTGGACGGAGCGTGGGGTGGGGATGGCGGCGGGCGAGGCGTGGGGAGGTACATACATGTGTAGACGTGGAACTGGAAATGGGAGGTGACAGACAACAGCATGGATGAGTGCGTCACTGAGTATATTCTGGAGGTGAAATCAGTCTGTACGGTGTGACGATGCTCAGTGAATGAATGTGAATTAATCAGTTAAAAAAAGGTCATATCTTAAACGTGCCTGTTTCAAAAAGGGAGAGTCTTTTAATAATTTAACACAAAATCAGATGATATAAACTTGGACTATTCCAGAAAATACTGCTCTAAGCACAGCATGACCACTCCTGCAGCCGCGCTGGCCCAAGTAAATGCGCTGCCACGTCCGCGGCAAGTGCCCGGGGTCCCAGGAGCGGGTCGTCGTCAGTGCCGCCCACCTCCCACCCGCGCCATCACTGCGCTACCTCACGTACACAGCACGGACCGGGTGCCAACAAGATCCTTTTAATCTTTCGACAAAATAACCTGCTTCGCAATTCCAGGACCGCCAGTCTGCTAGAAACTGTCCGGCGGCACAGTAGAGAACAAGCAGCGCCCCTGCGCACGACCGTGAAACCAAACCAAGCTTTATTACGGCAGCCCGACCACGGCACCAGCCCTCCACGGCAGCTCCCCCGATGCAGACAGGCTGCGAGGCTCAGTCTGAGTGGAAACACAAACTCGAATCCCTTGAGCTCGAAAGAGAGTTCACGAGAACTCGGCGGGGCGAGAGGGGCCGAGGGCCGCCAGGCACTGCAGACGCAGGGTCCTCTTGGTGCATCAGGAACCTCACTAGAAACCTGATTTGTAAAAAAAATCAGTCATCAAAGCTTAAAACTTTAAAAAGTACATGGACAGATGCCAGCGTCTGGGCTGCATAATCGATGTGCCAGCGCCGAACACTGACAGTGTCCCTAGCGTCACCCGCCAGGCGCCCTTGCCCTCACACCAAGTGGTCAGCCAGGGAGTGTCGTGGGTCCTGAGCAGTCTGGTGGCGGAAGGACGCAGCATGGAGACCTTCACCAGGCCTGACGCACACTCACGGAGACACGCTCCAGCCTTTCGCCCAAGAACGAGACGGCAGGCAGGAACTTCTACCAGCGTCTTCCCGTCCAACTTGAAGCCATTGTGCACGGGGCAACAGAAACCATTTAAATGCCTAAGAGAACTAGGGGAGGGCTGGGGGGGCACATATGCCATGGGAAAATCTGGAGCCTCGGGAAGGGTGACCCAGAGCCATCTCCCTTCCTTCCAGTCCCAAGTGCCCGGGCTGGTTCCACCTGGAGCCGGGAACTCGCAGCCGCACTGCCTGGAACAGACGCCCTGGGGCTGCACCGAGGAAAACAGCCTCCGGCACGTCAGGCCACATAGTGGTACTGATTGGGGCTGTCTCTGTCTCTCTCCATGTAGTCTCTATCGATAAGAGATTCAATTCTCTTCTTCAAATCTCCAGGCTAAAAAAGACAGAACAAACAAAATTTGTGGTTATAGTGGCATTACGTGTGCAAACCGTCACACGTGAAGTGTGTCACGACATGTATGAAAACACTGCAGGGACCAGCAGTTGGCATAATGGCTATGTCGCTGAACTCCCACGTAGTCAACCACGGTTCGAGTCCTGGGCCCAGTGGATTAAACTCACGCTGGGCGCATGTGCATGCGTGCCCAAGATCCCGAGAGGAGAATGGAGAAGGGATTGTGGTGTGGCCATCCCCCTGGGGGTGATTTCTCGCTTTCTGTCTCTGTCTCTCTGGCACGCGCACGTGTCCCATAGCAAAAAACTCTCAAAAAACCATCAACGTACTGCATCGTGCCTGTTCACAGGGCACATGTAGCTCACTCACAACTACGCAGGAAATACAAGAGCTGAACACCTTGAGACCGCGTGACCCCTCATCAGGTCAGGAGTTTGTGTGTGCACACGCGTCAGCCAGGTCCTCGTAGGAATGTGGGCCTCCTCCCCCCAGCAGTGCCACGCTGTGCTCGCTTGCCCTTCAGGAGCCCCTGACCTTAAGGGCCGCACATTCCTCCTACACCCCACGCACTGACCACGGAGCTGTGCCCACGGAGCCCAACCGTGAGCTTTGTAAAAAAAATCAGTCATCAAAGCTTAAAACTTTAAAAAGTACATGGACAGATGCCAGCGTCTGGGCTGCATAATCGATGTGCCAGCGCCGAACACTGACAGTGTCCCTAGCGTCACCCGCCAGGCGCCCTTGCCCTCACACCAAGTGGTCAGCCAGGGAGTGTCGTGGGTCCTGAGCAGTCTGGTGGCGGAAGGACGCAGCATGGAGACCTTCACCAGGCCTGACGCACACTCACGGAGACACGCTCCAGCCTTTCGCCCAAGAACGAGACGGCAGGCAGGAACTTCTACCAGCGTCTTCCCGTCCAACTTGAAGCCATTGTGCACGGGGCAACAGAAACCATTTAAATGCCTAAGAGAACTAGGGGAGGGCTGGGGGGGCACATATGCCATGGGAAAATCTGGAGCCTCGGGAAGGGTGACCCAGAGCCATCTCCCTTCCTTCCAGTCCCAAGTGCCCGGGCTGGTTCCACCTGGAGCCGGGAACTCGCAGCCGCACTGCCTGGAACAGACGCCCTGGGGCTGCACCGAGGAAAACAGCCTCCGGCACGTCAGGCCACATAGTGGTACTGATTGGGGCTGTCTCTGTCTCTCTCCATGTAGTCTCTATCGATAAGAGATTCAATTCTCTTCTTCAAATCTCCAGGCTAAAAAAGACAGAACAAACAAAATTTGTGGTTATAGTGGCATTACGTGTGCAAACCGTCACACGTGAAGTGTGTCACGACATGTATGAAAACACTGCAGGGACCAGCAGTTGGCATAATGGCTATGTCGCTGAACTCCCACGTAGTCAACCACGGTTCGAGTCCTGGGCCCAGTGGATTAAACTCACGCTGGGCGCATGTGCATGCGTGCCCAAGATCCCGAGAGGAGAATGGAGAAGGGATTGTGGTGTGGCCATCCCCCTGGGGGTGATTTCTCGCTTTCTGTCTCTGTCTCTCTGGCACGCGCACGTGTCCCATAGCAAAAAACTCTCAAAAAACCATCAACGTACTGCATCGTGCCTGTTCACAGGGCACATGTAGCTCACTCACAACTACGCAGGAAATACAAGAGCTGAACACCTTGAGACCGCGTGACCCCTCATCAGGTCAGGAGTTTGTGTGTGCACACGCGTCAGCCAGGTCCTCGTAGGAATGTGGGCCTCCTCCCCCCAGCAGTGCCACGCTGTGCTCGCTTGCCCTTCAGGAGCCCCTGACCTTAAGGGCCGCACATTCCTCCTACACCCCACGCACTGACCACGGAGCTGTGCCCACGGAGCCCAACCGTGAGCTGTGTGTCCCTAGACTACGTAGCCATGGCCCAGGAGGGGGCAGGTCCCTGGCGCTACTGAAGTCGGAGGCCAGTCTACAAGAGGCCCCGCCCCTGCTGTGGCTGCCCACTCAGTGATGGGCTGTGCCTGCTCCCAGTGGAGGACGAGGTTCTTGGCCCCCTGTCCGAGCACTCTTGGGCCTTGCGTCCCCTGGTCTGTACCTGCACACAGGGTGGCGGTGGCACTGGCCTGGCTGGTGGGGAGGGCAGGCCACATAATGCTGCAGCTGCACCTGAGGCCCAGAGGGGGTGGAGTGGGCCCCCGCTGGGTACACTGGACCCCTACCAGGCCCACGGGCTCCTAGCTGCACACCCTCAGGGAGAGGGCGTGACCCGCGCCCTCCCCAGGTGCTTGCACCGCTGGGCTGGCTCAGGCACCGCGGCAATCGGGCGGCACAGTGCGGTGTTCCAGCAGGGCAGCTACACATGGTGCGTTGGAGCTTGGACGGGAGCCGACCTCGGGCTGGAGCGCTGAGGGGACTAGTGTCAGGGGATGACAGACTCCATGCTTCCGGCCACCGTGGGTGCATAAACTCTGATCGTGTGAGTGCGTGCTTCTCAGGGAACACAGTGCCAACGCCGCCCACCTGCTTCCCCGCTTGCAAACAGGAGGTTACTGGGAGAGTGTTGTCTGATGGTCTGTGTTTTCCAATCCCTGGGGTCTCTGGCAACACTTCTTTTTGTACCCGAAGTCAACACACCCCGGGATCAACCCTTACTGTTCTATTTTTTTTTTTTTGGAGAGGTTTTTGCCATAGGGTGTGTGCGCTCGCCAGACAGAGAGAGAGACAGAGAGACAGAAAGCGAGAAATCCCAGGGGCGATGGCCATGCCACAATCCTTTCTCCTTCATTCTCCTCTCGGGATCTTGGGCATGACCGACCA